TTCGAAAAAAATCCATTTTTTTTTGAAAAAGTGCCTTTTTTGTATTTAACCTCTATCTTTGCAAAAAAAGAGTTTTTTCTAGAAAAATTTATTATCAAAATGATCAGCGAAAAATTCTCTATAAATTCTGAAAGCCTTAAGGAATTTGGGCGTGGTCGCCGGATGGACTGGCGATTTCTGGTGGAATGACCCATATACCATTGTAGTATTCAGTCGTAAACGATACGACGAGATATGACAGTAATACGGTGCTTACCAAAACGTTTCTTTATGGAACCTATAAACTCGCGTCTTCGGTAGTTACATTCGTTTAGGACATCGTGAGGGTTCATATACTATCATTTTTGATCGTTGTAGTGCGCGAATTGGAGATAGGAAAAGTATTCATTTACATTGAGTTATATTTGTTTTGTTCGCATTTCTTCTAAAGCAATCATAAAACAGATGTAATTCTACCGAGTGTATGTTTAAGGAAACTTGAATGTACTGATTATTTGAAGAGTTTAAAGCAATGGGATCTGCTCCAAGTCACACCAATCTGGCACCACCAACTCCGCGCGCGCCCCGAATATCTGAACAACAAAGATATTGGAATCACGAACACAATAGACAGTTTGATAATCGCGAAAGAAACATCGGACATCATCGAAATTATGAAAAAAATCCTCGTTATATAATGAACATTCGTGATGAACCCCAGCAAATGCTTCGCCCGATTGCAGGATATGAAAAAAGACCTTTAGTATCATTAGAAGAAGCATGTGAACCACTAAATGCGTATGTCTCTGATTTACCACGTCATGTATGGATTGCGAAACAAAATTCACAACATCCAGCTGACGGTCTAAGTTCTGATGAATCAGCTTCCATCCATCTTTATACAATGGAATGGTCCGATAGTCTTTATTCTGTTCTCAATAAGACACTGAGAGACGTTGATCGACGAGTATTAGCGCCATGGTTTCTTTATTTAAAATTGCTTATTACAGCACTATTCAAGTTGCCATCACTCCGTACTGTTGTTTGGCGAGGTGTACCTGAAGATTTAAGTCATCAATACGCAGTGGTAAGAAAAGTAATATTAACAAGAGAAGATCCCCAACTGTTACCAAAGGATTTCAACGAAACCTATATGGGTTTTGTTAGCATGGTATCGATATCTCGTTTATTGGAAAATTAGTGACTGAGACTACACCCATAACAAAGTTTAAAGTAAAATATTTTTTCTTCTGAATCCTGAGGAGCACTACAGGTTAATTATCTCCAGCAAAACAAAATAATACGGAAAAAGAATTGAAGTGTGCAGAAGTAGAATCAGTTTTCGTTGCCGATTCAGAACAAATTATTAGTTTGAACTGAAATCATATTTTTCCGATCACAGTGTACATGATGACAGTTAAATGTATGCAAAATCAAATGCATTGAGGACATTTCTATAGAAATTTCTCAATTTGACAGTATTTTGGGATTTGAAAAGAATATACTTCTGCAGTAACTTTAAAAGACGTCATTTTTTGGTACATGCAGATTAATGACTACGAACGAAATGATAAAGTTTTTTACAAGCGAAGAAGATCACTGAAAGAGCAGTATTTTTAACTAGTATATTACTAAAAACCAATGAAATGAGAAATAGAAAATATAGATGTGTTTGTGAGTAAAAAAAGCTTCAAATGAAGAATATGTGATCGGGTTGCGATTTGTCTAATTGGTATTGATAATTGAGAGTGTCGGTGTGACTGTTATTTTCTGTCACGCCACATCCACACTCGACCAAAAACATAAAAGGCGCTGTCCCATTAGTTCTTTTTTTTCTCGAGTTGTGGTCAATTTACCGAGTTTTCAGCCTGTCGCAGGATATAGTGAAAAATCTCGATGAAGAATTTCCACCTTAATGTCTTCCGAATGATAGACCGCATGATTCGTATGATATCTTAAAAATGTCCGCTCAAACGGATGCATTTTTGTTAATATGTGGGATATCCACAAAATTACGACTTCAGGAAGTATTTTAAGAAAGTTCTGATCCGTACAAATATATGAAGTGGCCTCATTTTTCAGAAAAGTGTTTTTCAAAACAATCGTCAAAGTCGATTTTCTATACTATGGAAAGAGGCAGTGGAGCTTTTTCTTTAAGACAATGACTTTTTGTAAGTCAAATTTTAGCAGGCTTTTCAAGGAAATTGCCATTTTATTGTTCTGTTTTTCTGCGCATTTCAGTGTTGTATTTTTATTTTTGACAAGACTATATTTTTTGCCTGAATCAACATTTAGTAAATATTCTAATATATTTTAAGCATGACTCACGGTGCTAAATTATCTCATCAGTTATTGGCTTCTAAAGTCCTACTTTAATCTATGATGAACATGACAATTTTTAGACCAAAATAAAAAAATTCATATCGAAACTTATTAACAATTTTTCAGAAGATGTTTTTCAATCAGCAAAATAGAAGTATCTACCATCCAGTTAAAGCTATAAACAATATTCTCTTTGTGTTGAAGGTCTGAATGAGAGTAAACGTTTATCCAATCAAACTTTGTACAGTTGATTTCTGCATCGAGAAAAGCTAGTTTTAGTGTCGTGAAGTGACATGTATTGCTTATTATAACACTGTACTAAAATGATGGCTAGAAAAAGAACAGCATCGGATTTCGAATTTTTTTTTCTAGTGGAAGACTACGCATAGGCATCGGCTTTGATTTGACATGAACTCGAGCACTATATCACTTACAACGATAACATTACAACGAATTTTCTGAATGCCATCAACGGACTATAAATTGGTCGAAGCTTCTCTCTGATGCGGCGTATCGCACTGAAACTATTATCAGAAACATTTCTGGCTAGAATTAGTCGTTTCTGAAAACTTCAGTCCCAACAATCTATGTTCACTGAAAAATGTATTGTGAGAGGGGGGGCGGCACTCAACTCAGAAGGAAAATATTCGTCTGAGTTGATAACTTCAGGATATGATAATGACTGTAAGGTCTATTATTGGGAAAATTTTCAGATTGAAATATCATATAGAGATTTTCTTCATAGCTTTATGTGATAGACTAGACTGAAAAATTCATTGAGAGATCACAACTCGACGAGAAAGGTCTAATGGCATCAATCCTTTTTTGGTTTTTATCTATGTCATGAGCTCAAACTATGAGCAGAATATGTGCTCAATATGAAGTTATTAGTTGTATGGATTTCCTTGTGAATGGGCACGATTTAGGGATGTGCAGTTTCAGTGTAAACATTGAAATACTGACACTGCACATCTCTAAAAATATATGTACTATCTGAACAAAACAATAGTGGCATTGCTCTTTAGAAAGAAATTTAGCTAAAATATTTATATTTTTATCATTATCATTTCAGGGTGATCACAAAGTTTGGTGGAGCTTTAGCTCATGCACATCATCGATGAACATCCTAGAAAACCCAATGTATTTAGGCAATCGTGGAACGCGTACATTGTTTAGTATTGAAGCATACCATGGCAAAATGATCAAAAATCATTCATTTTATAAGAAAGAAGATGAAGTTCTTTTGTTACCTGGTACATACTTCGAAGTGACTAATAATTTCAATTCTGGTAATAATTTACATATTATACAAATAAAACAGAAACGACCGCCGCATACTCTACTGGAACGACCATTTCAAACACAAGAGGCAACTTCATTTAAAAGTATTCTGCCAGTTGCAAAGCAGTCACAAGGAATCCAGTATGCGGCACCACCAGCCCAGTATGTGTCACAACCAAATTACCAAGTTCTCAGTAATGCAACTTTTTAGGCCCAGTTTATTTTTAATTCCAATCTTCAATGTTTAGGATCGGACGGAGTAAAACAAATTCTATTTAGTAATATCCCGGGTGCAGGGCGTGGGAGTGGCAATATTCCACCAGGATACGAAGGTCTTGATTGGGAAGATTTTCAGTACATTGAAGAATCATATGCACAATCGTTCATGGTTAGTGCATGGAAAGATCTATTCAAATATAGCCGATATATTATACATAACGTATCCGGCAAAAAAAAAATGTATATTTGTTCAAGTAAACCAAATGAAACATTTACAATTAAATCAATGGATGCTACAGTTGTTGATCGCGACAACTCTCAATGGATGCTAACTGGCTTGAGATCCAATGTCAAACTTTTTACAAAGACTGTCACATTTCACAACCATGGGCTGTATCAATTAATTGATTTGAATTTTGTTGATATTGATGAAATGATCTTTACAACATTCAATGGTTACCCAAGCCTTGCTATTAGTCGCATCAATCTAGTAACTGGAACTCACTATTAATCGTGTACTGCTCATTTTTGGATAATCGGTTTTAAAGACAATATAAAGTGTCCACCTCAAATTCTCCCGACTGAACAGGAACACTGCTCATTGAGTGTATAAAAAAAAGAACATGATTCCATTTCTTATATGCTTATTTTGGCTTCTGTACACGTTCACTTTTCGGCTTCAAGTTAGGAGAGTGTGGATCTGTTAAGCTATCATGATATCGATCTTGAGGGTGTGGGTGTGGGTTAGATTCATCTCTTGAAATAGATGCAGACGTACACCAACACCAACACCCAAAGCTATTCGTACCTAACAATTAAACTTAAATTAATAACTGACAACTAAGTTAAGAACATTCTTTCCAATCGATGATAATACTTTACTAATACTAAAATCTGATAATTTAGCAAAAACTTGTCCATCTGATGGTAGACGTGCTTGAGGCATATTCCAAACGAGAATATTTTCTGATCTACTTAGGGCATACCAAAAGTAGTGGTGTTGGTATTATATGGACCCTATGGAACGCTCAAATCAAACTTTTCCCTATATGTACGTGTAGAGGAAACAGTGCTCTATATTTCTTCAATGAGTCATCATTTACCAGTGGCTATTATTATATGAGAAAAATTCAATAGAAACTGTACACCCATTTTTAGATGAATAAGGAACAGATTCGTGCCTATATTAAAGTGCGTACTGCACTTAACATGTAGCCGAAATCCATCTTTGACGATTTATGTACAGCTTTGAGGGACCAAGCTCCATCTTACAATACGGTTGTAAGATGGTCAAAATTATGTTGTGAAGGTCGGAAAGAAGTTGAAGATGAACCACGACCTGGTAGACCTGTAACCGAGACAACATCCGACAATATTGAAAAAGTTCGTCACCTTATTGATAATGATCCTTATCTTACTATTGATGAAATACAAGT